AAAAAAGGAAAATAAATAATTAAGCCAAATATGCAAGTAATAAAATTCAAATAAATTAATTAGAAAAAATACAAATCATGCCATTATTAATATTGAATGTTATTATATACCAATTACTTGGTACAGTACTTCAATAGGATGATAAAAACAAAAGTATTATATAAAGTATTAAATATTAGCCAAACCATTTATTTCAACACAAATAATATTAACCTGTGATATTTTTATTATCCCTTGACTGAAAATATTTTTTCTAGTTGAACCACCCAAGTCTTCATCCTGCATCATTTTCTCTTACTGCAAACAGAAGGTTTTATTATACAAAGCAAAAATGACTTTAGAAAATTTCATCAATTTAGAAGCAATGTTTGTTATATACATATATACATATACATATAAGTAATAATTAAACCGTATAGGTAATAGATATAAAATTTGATTAGATGTAAATTAACATTTGTATGTATATATTTTTGAATTTCTTTTAACTCACTTGAATATATCAAACAAGCTTCTTCTAGACAGGAAAGATACGATTAAAATTTCTTATGAGCATTGCTACCATTAATTTTAAATAAAAATCAAAAAGTTGGAACAAAAATTTGAAAAGATTATCTGCCAAATCTTTCCATTTCATTTCCAATCAAATATAATTTTCTTATAAATACTGAACATCATACATGGCTTTATAATTGATATTGATGTTACTCTAATCAAATATTTATAACAATTGCTCTGAATCTATTGTAGGAAGAATGTGTCATAAACTTATAATCTGTGATTGATTAGAATTATTAATCGTTAATCAACAATAAATGCGAATGCGCAAGATTGAAAATGTTAAGAGCATGCGATAATTTGTCAAAGAAATTTATTCGTCGCGATATTTCCCTCAACGTGAATTCAAGATTGTAAGTGGCTTCTACGGCGAATTCACAATTTGATATGTCAGTTATACAATATCGATATATCCTATTCGCCAACTAAAAATCAGAAAGGAAAAATCTTTTCGTGGAATATTTATCATTGAATTTATCATTGTGTCGCGAATGAGAACGAGAGAGAAAAAGAGAGAGTAATGATATTATCAATCGTTTTTCTCGAACAACATGGTAAGTGCTGCGTTAACCTAACCTAACCTCCTATATTTATGCTGATCAATCGGATATCGTTTTTAGGGAAACATGTCATAGAATTATTTACCTGCGATATTTTTTCGCGCCGTCTTCTCTACCGTAACACCCGTTTTGTGCCGAATATACCTCGTTTAAAAAAATATATATAACACGTCACAACATCAATGTACTATGATTAAACGCTTCGTAGAATGCTGCAGAATTGGTAAAATGCAGAATTTATGAGACGTGAAGAGACGAGAAGAGAAGAGAAGAGGTAAAAGCGAAGGTGCCGCCGCGTCGCCGCCGCCGCCGCCGCCGTCGTC